TGGCAGTCAATGGATCTCTGCCATGTCATGCCAATAATTTATCTATTTACAGCATTCAACAGACCTTTGTTGTGCTCTGCCAGGAATGTATTTGTGGCATTCATAAGAACATAAGAATGGCCATACTGGGACAGACCATTGGTCCACCTAGCCCAGTACCCTGTCTTCCAACAGTGGCCGGTGCCAGATGTTTCAGATGGAAGGAACAGAAAAGGGCAATTTACTGAGTGATCCATCTCCTGTTGTCCAGTCCCAGCTTCTGGCAGTCAGACGTTTAATGACACCCAGAGCATGGCATTGCGTCTCTGACCATTTTGGCTAATAGCCATTGTTGGACCTATCCTCCATGAGCTTATCTAATTTTTTTTTTTTTAACCTGCTTTACTTTTGGCCTTTGCAGCATTCCCTGGCAATGAGTTCCACAGGCTGACTGTGCATTGTGTGAAGAATGGATCCCTGCTGTGCTCTGCCAAGCATTCTTCTACATAGGTATCCAAAGTCCGGCGCAGCTCTGGCCCGGCAATGTGGCTCCGGTGCGGCTCCGGCCCCGCCCCAGCTCCGAGCAGCGTGGCTGCGGCCCCGGCCCGGCTCAAGCGCCACCAGCCATCTCCAGGCAGCGCGGTCAGGGAGCAGGGAAGGGGTATTGGATAGAGGGCAGGGGAGTTCGGGATGGTGGTGGTGGGTGGATAGGGGTCAGGGTGGTCAGAGGGCAGGGAACAGGGGGATTGAATGGGGACAAGGGTCCGGAGGGGGGCAGTCAGGAAGGAGCAGGGGTTGGATGGGGCGGTGGGAGGCAGTCGGGGCAGGAGTTCCAGGGGCAGTCAGGGGACAGAGAGAAGGGGTGGTTGGATGGGGCAGGAGTCCCGGGGGGCCATCAGGAATGAGAGGAGAGGTTGGATGGGGCGGCGGGGGGCAGTCAGGGGACAGGGAAGGGGGGTGGATGGGGCAGGGGTCTGGGAGGGGGCGGGCCGGGCCACGACCCCCTCGTGGGGTAAGGAGGAGGGAACCGGTTGTTACGTTTTTGGCAGCTCATCACTGGGTGCAGGGCGCAGGCTCTGGAAGGGAGTTTGGGTGTGAGGGGGGTTGGGGTGCAGGAGGGGATGCAGGGTGCCTGATCTGGGCAGTGCTCACCTCATGCAGCTCCCTGTGAGCAGCAACCTGTCCCTGCTGCTTGTAGGCAGAGGTACAGCTAGGCGGCTCTGCATGCTGCCTTTGCCCGCAGGTGCCGTGGCTAATGGGAGCTGCAGAGCCAGTGCTCAGGGCGGGGTGGGGGTAACGCCCAGGGCCAGCTAACCGCGACTCTGCCTAGGAGCAGCAGGGATATATTGCCACTCGCATGGAGCTGAGGTGAGCACCACCCGGGATCCAGCAGCCAGAACATTGGAATTATTATTTATGCAGGCTATTATCATGATACTGATTTAACCGACACATAGAAAAACATAAACTGTTGAGCAATAGTCAACATGGTTTCTGTAAAGGTAAATCGTGTTTTACTAATCTATTATAATTCTTTGAAGGGGTCAACAAACATGTGGACAAGGGGGATCCAGTGGACATAGTGTACTTAGATTTCCAGAAAGCCTTTCACAAGGTCCCTCACCAAAGGCTCTTATGTAAATTAAGCTGCCATGGGATAAAAGGGAAGGTCCTTTCATGGATTGAGAACTGGTTAAAAGACAGGGAACAAAGGGTAGGAATAAATGGTAAATTCTCAGAATGGAGAGGGGTAACTAGTGGTGTTCCCCAAGGGTCAGTCCTCGGACCGATCCTATTCAACTTATTCATAAATGATCTGGAGAAAGGGGTAAACAGTGAGGTGGCAAAGTTTGCAGATGATACTAAACTGCTAAAGATAGTTAAGTCCAAAGCAGACTGTGAAGAACTTCAAAAAGATCTCACAAAACTAAGTGATTGGGCAACAAAATGGCAAATGAAATTTAATGTGGATAAATGTAAAGTAATGCACATTGGAAAAAATAACCCCAACTATACATACAATATGATGGGGGCTAATTTAGCTACAACAAGTCAGGAAAAAGATCTTGGAGTCATCGTGGATAGTTCTCTGAAAATGTCCACGCAGTGTGCAGAGGCGGTCAAAAAAGCAAACAGGATGTTAGGAATCATTAAAAAGGGGATAGAGAATAAGACTGAGAATATATTATTGCCCTTATATAAATCAATGATACGCCCTCATCTCGAATACTGCGTACAGATGTGGTCTCCTCATCTCAAAAAAGATATACTGGCACTAGAAAAGGTTCAGAAAAGGGCAACTAAAATGATTAAGGGTTTGGAACGGGTCCCATATGAGGAGAGATTAAAGAGGCTAGGACTCTTCAGCTTGGAAAAGAGGAGATTAAGGGGGGATATGATAGAGGTATATAAAATCATGAGTGATGTGGAGAAAGTGGATAAGGAAAAGTTATTTACTTATTCCCATAATACAAGAACTAGGGGTCATCAAATGAAATTAATAGGCAGCAGGTTTAAAACAAATAAAAGGAAGTTCTTCTTCACGCAGCGCACAGTCAACTTGTGGAACTCCTTACCCGAGAAGGTTGTGAAGGCTAGGACTATAACAGAGTTTAAAAGAGAACTGGATAAATTCATGGTGGTTAAGTCCATTAATGGCTATTAGCCAGGACGGGTAAGGAATGGTGTCCCTAGCCTCTGTCTGTCAGAGGATGGAGATGGATGGCAGGAGAGAGATCACTTGATCATTGCCTGCTAGGTTCACTCCCCCTGGGGCACCTGGCATTGGCCACTGTCGGTAGACAGGATACTGGGCTAGATGGACCTTTGGTCTGACCTGGTACGGCCTTTCTTATGTTCTTATGTTATGTAACCATAAATTCCTTTATTAAATCCAAAGGCCAAATGATATTTATACAATTGCTCTAAACAAATTGCCTACAAAACCTAAATAATAAGCAATTTACCACATTCAGACAGTAACAAAACATTTATGAGCATCTGATTAAGATAATTACAAATGGGCTAAACGTGGGTTCACATGGGCCCTAAGTTTTTCAATAACACTGGTGTGTGGAATGTGAAGGGCCATGTTGGCTCATTGTAAAACAGATTCTCTTTGTCTTATTTAAAACCATCTGCTGTCACCCCTACCAGTCAGAGGCCTTCTCTTCAGAAATGTCCCCTTATTTCATTAGTTATTCTTTGAACCAGACATGCCCCCTACTTCATGTCTTCTGGCCCTATAACTCATTACCTTCAAGGTCTTCCAAACTCAAGCTAACTTTAATTCTCTAATTTTATATTTATTCTACACCTTTACAAGCTCTATGGTAAGGCAAATGAAGAGCCACCATGAAGTAGTGTTGTCCAGTTGAGGGTCGGGGATCCAGAGCTCCTGGGTTCTATTCCTGGCTCTAGGAGAACAGTGGGGTCTAGCTGGTCACAGCAGAGGGATAGCTGGGCAGCAGGATGCCTGGAATCCACTCTGCTCTGTGCAGAGTAGGGATGGGAATTTCCCCTCACTGGCTCTGAGTTTCCCCAGAGAATAAACCCAAAGACATAGAGTGCAATGTGCACTGCGACCCCAGCAGACCCAGGAGTAGGAGCGTGACCTAGGGGTAGGAGCCCCCCCCAGCTGGACAGACTTACAGATTTCTATCACGGAGCAGCATGAAGGACCCAGTAGCCTTCCCCTATAGGGACCCCCACTCCCTGCGGAAGTCCCATGATCCCCCTCTTCCCAATGCAGGAATCTCCCTCCAAGATCCCCCATACACACATGTAGCCCCGCCCCCTGCACAGCCTCCCCACTTTCCTCCGGCAGGGGTCACCCGCGCCTGCAGTTCGCGCCCCCTGCAGGGATTCCTCCCTCCGGGATGCCCCCCCGTGTAGCCCCCCCAAGGCAGGGATCTCCCCACCTGCAGTGCCGCTGGGCCTTTCTGCTCCGTCCGGCCCCGCGGCGCGGGATCCGCGGCCGGAGTGCATGCAGCCCATGGGTGCGCTGCCGCCGCCTGGAGCCCGTGGCTCCGCGCGGTCCCCGGGCGCTTTGTGAGGTCAGCGCCCAGCGGCGCCTCCCTGTCGCAGTCTCCAGGCGAGGGCTTGGTCCGGGGCATGGCCCCGATTCCTGGAGAGACGCAGCGCCCCGCCCCCATGGACCCCTCCCAGCGGCTCCGCCCGCACCACGCCCGGGGGCACGGCCCCGCCTCCGGCTCCTCCACGGCAGCCTGGGCAGATCGCAGCTGCGTCTCCCACGTGTCCTGTCCGCCCCAGGTGAGACAGGCCCCCTGGGGGCAGAGGCTCCTCAAGGAGGGGCCATGTAGGAGAGTCCATGGCTGGGGGCAGGGCAGAGAGGGGATAGCCAAGGGCTAGGGCACAGAAGAGCTGCATGTGGATGGAGAGCTGATGTGTGTGTGTGGTGGGGGGGGGGTCATGTACAGGGGTCCCTCCTCCAATACCCACCCTGGGGGCAGCCCTCCCCCCATAGGCAGTGGACCATCTAGGAAAGAGCAAAGAGTAGGGCTCATGCCAATGCACCACCCCACCTCAAACCCCACACACAGACACACACACTTCCAGAACAAGACATGGTTACAGGTTCTTTTTACACTGCTGTGTGAGGGCCATTACAGCTTGGATGTCCAGGGGGTAGGTCCAAATCTCTCACGCAAAATATCTGCTCCTCTCACCACTCGCTGGCCAATGGAATGGGCCTTAATGGACCCAGCTCTGCCCTCCAGCCCCACAGTCGGCTGTGACTGCCCCCAGCTCAACCCACCTTGTCCAAGCGGGGGTGGCATTCTCTGAGAGGTTAGGGCCCTGCCAACCCCAGCTAGGGCTGGCACATTTCCACCCCTCCTCCACCCCAGTCCCTTTCAGTAGCAGGGGAGAGGCTGGTGCCTCTGGCCAGCAGAGACATGAGGCTTCCCCTCCCCTTGTCCAGGCAGGAGTCCCTATGGCCGGGGTGGGGAGCGAGTTCATTATCCTTTCTGGCTGGGGAACAGGCTCCCCACTCGCCCCCCTCAAGGCCCAGCGCTCGTTCTCTTCTGCTTCTTGGGATGCTTGCCTAGCTGGGTCTCCCGGACATTGGGGTCCCCGGTGCGCTTGAGCACTGTTCTGGTAGCCACCGTCTCCATGCCATCCCACAGCTCATCTTTTTCCTCCTTCACGTCTGCTTGGGGGGCTGCAGGTTCAGGTTCTTCATCCTGGGGGGTGGGGGGGGTGAGGGAGGCACAGTCAAAACAAGCAGCGCCCCCTGCCGTGCCCTGACTACGTGAAGGGGCCCCCATAGAAGGACAAGGGAAGGGTCCCTACCCACTACCTTAAGCAGGTTTAGGGGAGCAGGAGGCCCTGGCCCCGAGGTCTCTCCCCTGCTCCCCATCCCCAACACCCTCAACCCAATAACAATGCAGCCAGGAGAGAGGCAGCTAAGGTGCAGCGACCCCACAAATAGAGCTCCCACACCCAAGAGGGAGCCCCCTCTGCTCCCTCCCTTCCCACCACACTCACCTCCCACTTCTCACGGCTGGTCAGCAGCAGGCAGTTTAGCCGGGACTTCAGATACACCTGCAAACAACAAGGGTCAGAGATCAGGATACAGCAACATGTCCATAAGGGAGAGGGAATCACTGCAGCTCTGGCCTCTCCCAGCAGGGGTGCTGTGCATGGGGTGGGTGAGGGCGCAGCTCTCACCTTGTGTACCAAGCGCTTGTCCTCGATATTATGTACCCGCAGGAAGCGGTCAAGGCCACAGGAAGCCACGAGTGGGAGGGTGGGGTGACAGTGGACGCTGCGCACACTCCCAGCAAAGCCCTTCAGGCATTTCACCAGCCGTCCTGCTGCAGAGAGAGACGGACCATCACTGAGCCAGCCCCCAGGCCCACCCCCAGAGATCCAAGCCAGAGGGCCCAGTAGCACCCTCTCCACTGACTCAACCTCAACCCAGCCTCACCTCCTAACTTTCCACCCCCACGAATCCCTCCTCCACCCCCACAGGCCAGACTTCTCCCCTGCCCCAAGAGGAACAGTGTTCCCTCTCCCGTACAAAATCCCATACTCCCTCCCAACATTAGCCCCTCCATGCCCTGAGGGTGGCAGCAGCAAAGTGCTGTGGGCTGCAGCCATGCCCCAGCCCCTGCTCACCTTGCCGCAGGTCGATGACAGCCATGTCCCCGTGCGAGCTGCCTACCACCACAGAGCTGCAAGGAGATGGGTGTTAGGCACAGGCAGGACAGGAGCCACCGCTCTAACTCCTCACCCCATGGTCACAGGGATACCCACTGCCCAGCCAGGCTTCTGCACTCCACCACCCACCAAGGAGCCATGAGCAGCTCCTTCCCCTCCACCCGAACCCACTCTCCACCCAGATCTGGGAAAAGAACCCAGGAGCCCAGACTCCCAGCCCCTCTGCTCTGACCCAGGAGCCAGTGCTGCCTCCCACCAAACAGAACCAAATGGAGGTCTGGTGCTGATCTCTGAATAGCTCTCAGCTGCCTGCCCTTGGCATTCGTAGACGGTGCCTCACCCCAAGCCACAGAGCCACTGCCCTGCCCTCCCTCAACTGTGTTCAGTGCCCCCGCCCCCTCAGCCGGCAGGGAGAGTGACTCACTCAGCACCAGGGGTGAGGGAGAGGGCTGTGAGGGGGTATTCCCCATAGGTTGCCTCCAGCACAGGGCGCCGCTGTGGGGAGCTGGGGTCGTACAGCCGCACCTGGGAGAGACAGAGAGGGCGTCAAAGTGGCCCCGCACACTCCCTCCCTGGCAGGCAACCACTCTGTCCCAAGCAGGTGAGCTGGGGGCATCAGAGGTCAGTTACTGTCAGGAAACAAACCCTCCAAACACCTGAATGCCCCCCCCCCTCCATCCTCTGCATCTCAGACCCTGATTCCCCTTCCCCATCTGCCCAACCCCTCCAAACCCCAATCCAACACCTCTATCGCCCCAACTCTTCCCTCCATTCCCCCTGCTCCACAATCCCCCATCCCTGTTTGCACCTCAGACTGATCCCCTTTCCCCATCTCCCCCACCCCAAACACCATCCTGCACCTCCCCTTCCCCAGGTCCCTCTCCCTCTACTCCCAGCCTCTCAGACCCAAGTCTACTCATCCCTCCCTCTGCGGGCTCCCCAGACCCTGATCCCTTTCCCACCTCAACCCAGCTCACACCCCCACCGCCTCCCAAGTCCCTCCCCAGACCTCCTCCAGAACCCAATCTCCCTACCTACACGGTCCTCCAGACCCTAATACCACCTCCCCCCTACAGACTCCAATCCCTCCATTGCAGCCCAATCCACTCCTCAGGCTCCTACCTGGTGGTGCCCAGTGCAGGTGACAATCTTCTCAGACCCAGGTAGGAACTGCAGGTCACGCTCCCACACAGGGACTCGGAGATTGAGCCAGTCATTCCGCACCTGCCGAGAGGGGTGAGGCGGGGTAAGTGGAACCACAAGGCCTGGGCTGGGTTTGCTCCCACATGGCCTGAGAGGGTGCTGGGCTCCGGGCAGGGGACAGAAGATGAAATGTAGATCTTGCCAGGGATTGGGGGGAGGGATGAAGGGAGGAAGAGTGTGTATGGTGGGGCACAGGTTCAGGGAACAATAGGTGGCGTCAGGACAGACTCTCCCTCAAGGGGTAGGATATAGACTTAGGGCCAGGCCAAGGGCTTCCCTCCCCGCAGGGGCAGCCAGGGCAGATGCTGATAGAGGGCATGGCCAGGGCTCCCTAGAGCATGGGCTTGTAGGGGGAACATCTAGGGCAAGCACTCACATTTTTGGCACGGAAGATGGGTTCCTCAGGCCGGTGCAAGTCCCAGACCTTCAGAGCGTTCTCCTTCCCACCTGTCCCCACACACTGCGGCTGGGCAGGGTTCTGGCGCATACGGCACACACCAGCCCCCACCTGGGTTTCCATCTAAATGGGGCAGCAGAAAAGAGGGAGTTATGATACCCCCAAGTGCAGGGATCCTGGCAGGACTGAGATCCACTGCACTTACCCCTCCCCACAGAGCAAACAGGAATTGTCCCCACACAGCTCGACTCCCTGGGACCAGCCTGGGAGGCAACAGTGTTAGCCCTAATCCGGCTCAGATTCCTTCCCAATGCAGCATCCTACCACCAACCCAGCATCCACTGCCCCAGGCCTCTCCCCATGAGAGCCTTACGTTTTCGGATGAAGCATCCCGCCAGACCTTGAGGAGACCAGACTCCACACAGGTGATGATGGAACTGCACATGCCAGCCAAATGGTGGGGGTGAGAGGGAGAAAATCCAGATAGGGAGGAGAGAGAAATAAATCATTGTTAGTTTCTAACAGCAGACACGGGCCACGCTCACTACTGGAATTAGGGGGTGAGATGGATGGATGCATGGATAGGTAGACAAGGAGTGGGTGTCACAAAGGGAACTTGAATCTCCTGCCTAAAGAGGGTGAAAGATGCTTCTCCCCCCCCCCACGGGTGTATTTCTTTTTGGCAGCAGGATAGATTAAGTCTCTGAGTGAACCATCCAACATCAGCTGCTGTAAGAGACAGGACAGGAGGCTAGATGGGCCGATTGGTCTGATCCAAAGGTAGGCATGTGCATGCATGTTGTGATGTGAGGTTCAAGGAGCTCCCGGGTCTAACCTGGGGGTAGCAGGGAGCAGGAAAGGGTAAATGATCTAATCCAGGGTTTGGCTGCGTGAGACCCAGGGTTAGATGGATCTACAGATCTGATGGGGTGGGGACGGAGAGAAGGAGACTTGGGATAAAGGGATCCATGAGTCTCCCAGGAGGAGGAGAACGTGTGAGACCTGGAGTTAGATAGGCCCGATCCCGGCCGGGAGGGGACAGGGGGGATGGGTGAAACCTGGGGTTAGATAGGCCCACAGATAAAAAGCTGGAAACAGGCACTATGGAGCTGGGGGGCAGCTGCCTGGTTCGGGGCGCGGGACCCACCTGTCGTGCACGGCCAGGCCGCAGAACGAGCCCTCCCCGCCCAGACACTGCCGCGACTCTGTGAACTTTCCCTTCTCGGTGCTGAACAGCTTCACCGACCGATCCAGGCAGCCGACGAGGATCTGGGGAAGGAGAGGGGTCAGGGGACGCCCCGACTGCAGCCCCTCCCGCCGCCCCAGCCCTTCGACTGCAGCCCCTCCCCCCGCCGCCCCGGGCCCCTCACCTCGGACTCGGAGGGGTCCCCCCAGCACATGGCACTGACGCCCTCATCCCGGCGCAGTGCCGAGGCCGCCACATAGTTGGTGGCCTGTCTCCGCCGCAGGTTCACCCCTAGGAAAGAGACGAAAAATGGTCACAGCCGGGGGGAGGGAGAAGAGAATGGGACAAGCCCCCCCCATCACGGCCGCCCTCCCCGATACCTTTCAGGATGCCAGTCTCGGATCCAACCCACACGTGATTCCACCGCGCAGAAGACGCCATCTTGCCCCGCTGCCTCTCTCTATCCGCTCCGGCTCGCTCCCTTCTGTCTGTCCTGGTGGGCCAGAATGGGCTAAAAGAGAAGGGAAGTGGTGCGGGACCGGACCGCTTACAGTGTTACGCCGGAAGCCGGATGTTAAACTTCGCGATTCGTGACAGGCCTGGGCCGGGTTTGCGTCCGCTCCTTGGTGTCTCACCGAACCCTTTCCTGCCTACACCTAGTCCTACTCGCAACGTTCCCACCTGCTGCCTGTTCATTGTGCATTCTTCCCCCACCCCAGATTTCGTGTGTTGCTTGAGCAGATGGTGTGCATTCTTTTTGCCCCTCCCCACAGTGGGGAAAGTCCCCACTCTCTGCCTCCCTCCCACGGCGGGGTGTGTGTGTGTCATAGCAGTAAGGGAGCCAAAGCAGTTGTTTTCAACTTTCCCTCATGGTACTTGTTGACTATTGGTCTCGTGCCAGTATTTAGCCTTAGATGGAGTTTACCACCTGCTTTGAGCTGCATTCCCAAACAACCCAACTCCAAGAAGACCTGGTCCCGGCGCACCGGGGGCTGCTACCAGCCTCACACCGTCCACGGGCACCTCTTAACGGTTTCACGCCCTCTTGAACTAATTCAGGGTCTGAGGTAGGATTTGGGCTGGGGAAACCCCCGTCCACACATGATGGCACAGCTCAGAGTAGTAGCCCTGCAAGATGCTCAGCGACATGGAGCAGCGAGTCACGGTGTCATGCCCCAAGCAGCAGCCGCACTCATGGGCGCAGCTGGGAATTTGGAGTCAGGGAGCAGAGAGTGCCCTTTGTTGGCTGTTTAGATTCTGACCTCATTGGGGCAGGGACTGTCTCTTGCTGTGTCTGATCGGAGGACCCAATCTCAGTCAGGGTCTGTGCAGTGCCTAGGCTAATGGAGTCCCTAATCTTGGTTGGGATTTATGCAGCACCAAGCAAGAGGGGACCCCAATGTCAGTTGGAGCCTCTAGGCACTATTATTATACACATGCTCATAATTGATATGGGAGGAGACCCAGCACATTGTATTGGTGCCTCATTTTTTTTATATTTAACTCTAAATAAATAATTAGACCAGGAGATTCAAACCTGGTTATTAAATGTCAGTTAAATGAGCATTTGACACACAGCCATAAAAAAAATTGATTTACACTGGAGTTGCTGAACAACAACAACAATAATAATAGAACTTCACAACTGACAGAATAAGACAAAAACGAAAGGGCGAAGAGTCTGTCCAGCTGGGGCCGGAGTCTGACCTGCATGTATTTTGATTGCTGAACGTCCCCACAGGCAGTAATGGCCCCTTCAGGTCAAAGAGCTCCACCTTCTTCGCATATATCTTATATCACAGAGTAACCCCTCTTTTCCCATTCCTGCAACCTCCCCATCTCTACTGACATGGGTGGGAATTTCTGGCTTTGTCTGTATTTTGGTACAGGAAACGATGCCTCAGAGATACTGTTAAGTCCACTAGGGATTTTGCTGTGGCCAATGTGGAAGGTGCTCAGATACTAGGGGGCTGGCAGAGCCTAGGCATTCACACAATACAGACCTCATCCACAGCAAGGATGGAAGAGAGACCTGAATGGAAGGAACAGAAAGACAGCTGGAGCCACCCTGAGGGGTGGATTTATCCATCTATCCCTGGCCCTCATCACCACAGTATCTGGGCACTTCACCAGCTTTAATATCTTTATCCTCACAGCCCCGCTTGGGATGTAGGGCCATGCTATTATCCCCATTGAACCAATGGGGAACCGAGGCACATGGAAAAACTAAGTGACTTGCCCAAGCTCACACATGGAATCTGCGGAGGAACAGGAAATCAAACCCAGGGCTACCAAGCCCAGGGCCGGCTCCAGGGTTTTGGCCGCCCTAAGCAGCCAAAAAAAAAAAAAAAATAGCCGTGATCGCGATCTGCGGCGGCAATTCGGCGGAAGGTCCTTCGCTCCCAGGCGGAGTGAGGGACCGTCCGCCGAATTGCCGCCGAATACCTGGACGGGCCGCCCCTCTCCAGAGCGGCCGCCCCAAGCACCTGCTTGAGAAGCTGGTGCCTGGAGCCGGCCCTGACCAAGCCCCAGGCTAACAAGCTAACTAGTGGACCATGGTCCCTCCCTACACAAGCTACTGCTGATACACAGAGGGTAGGGATTGCTAAGGAGGTCAGCAGAAATGGTAACATCAATCAGGGTGCATCTCAGCTCCACACCATCACAGGATGGAAAACCTGCATCCCCGGGGGGTCTCTGAATTTCTGTGAGCATCACAAATACCATCCCTTATGGGGTCACAGTCTGTCTAGGCCCCTCCTCCGCAGGGGCCAGTTCCTCCCATCAGATCCAGCAGAGCATGGGAGTCTCAGCAAAGCCAGAGCAAGAGCAGTGGCCTGTTGGGTTCCTGCTTTCCAGAGCCTGTGCATCAGCTGCCTTCCTGAGTATGGCCAGGAAGGGTGGTCAGCGCAATGCCAGGAGCAGGGCTGGGCAGGCAGAACCCCCAGAGCATGGCAAGCAGTACCCCCAGGGCACATGGCCCAGACACAGAGCTAATCCACACCCTCCGCCTCCTGGAATGGCCTGGTGACAGCAAAGCAAAGGCAGGCGTGTTGGCTTAGCAGCCCCAGGTCCCCACTGCCCATGCAGTCCTGCAGGTGCCTCTGGGGAGAATGTGTGTGTGTGTGTGTGTGTGTGTGTGTGTGTGTGTGTGTGTGTGTGGCACCTCCACGTCCAACACCTGCAGAGGGAGAAACCTGTTACGAAGGGCTGAGCCTGCTTCCCAGCACCCCATCCCAGAGCCCGAGACCTGACCCTGCATCTGCACCACCCCAACTTCCAAACCTCCCCCCCATGCCTGAGCCCAAGGCCCCACATAACCTCACCCCAAGGCCCTGTACCTTGCCAGCTGCTACATTTGACCCCCCAGTGCCTGGAACCTATGTCCTCCTATCCCAGTGCCTCAGGGCACCACCCTGCCCCCCAGTTCCCCTGCAGAAGGGTGACAGCAAGGTACAGAAGCCTCCCCAGAGAAGCAGGCATGGAGAGGTCCCAGTATGTGAGCACAGACCACACATACACCTGGCTCATGTAGCTGCCCCCCACCCCCCAAGCAGCTTTCACCTTCCCTGCCTTCAGTAGCAGCAGAGAATAGGCACTGCCTAGGCACTGGGGCCTGCTCAGGTGGACACAGTGCCCACTGCTGCTGTGTGCTGGCATAGCTAGCTCCCCTCCCACAGAGCCCAAAGGGGCTGCCACCATGGTGAGCAGGTCTCAGCTACTTGGTTCTGCCCTGACAGATGCGAGCCTAGGGCTGGCTGTCAAGGCCCCTTTTAGCAGCAGGTTTGGCCGAGGTGGGAGTTTGCCTCAATTAATCCTGGGCTCCCCAAGGTCAGGTAGGCAGCTGCTGTGACAGGCTCAGACAGGTTAACCTCTCCTTGCTCACAGCATCTACTGCACCCAGGAACCCATCAGCCAGATGGCCAGCTGCAGGGGCTCCCCAGCAAAGTCTGAGTGGGGAGGAAGAAAGCTGGTAACTCACAGCTCTGCCCACTGGGGAGATTGCTATACCCAGGCAGCTTTGGCTACAGGCATCCCACACAGCTCAGGTGCCAAGCCAACACCTCTGTACCTTGAGGGGGCAGGGAGAGACCCCTAATGCTCTGTGGCATGTGCAAACCAGAATTTCTTCAGCATGAGGGGGGCCTAGCCCAGGTCAAATCACATCAGGCACCCAAAGGAGTCTGAGCCCAGCAGGAGGAGCTTGGCCTCATCCCACACACATAGCTTTCTTCTCTATGAGCTGATGGTGCTGTAGAATCCACACTTTAGCCCTAGCATGACACAGCCTAGGCAAGGCCACACACCTGCCGCCTGGGGCAGCTCTTGGAGCACAGATCTCACAGCTTCCCAGCCAGGGTTTGGGCAGAGGATCCCAGCCCATCATAGACATGGACTCCTCAGTGGTCCTGGAGCAGGCTGGGCCCAAACTACATACAAGGGAGGAAAGTCTCCTTCACCCTAAAGAAGGGCTCAGTGTGGCTCAAAAGCTTCTCTTACCCAGAGAAATTGGTCCAGTAAGGTATTACTGTGACATTGCACTCCATATGCTTTATGAAAATATGCTTATGAATGTGAATGATATAACTGGAATATGCTTTATGCAAAAGGTCTCTTGTAAGGTATCATTACAAAGCTTATAATCTTTGTTCTTCCTATTTGTTTGCATGAATTATTTCTATGTCTGAAGTTAGGAGAATAAGATATAAACTTGTATTACTGATGTAAACATATTAAGTGGAAGTCATTAAGGGTGCTTCAGAATTATTGAACTGTAAATGTCTGTTTACTTGCAAACCTTCCTATGTAATGGAGGCTGAGGTCTCACAGGACATGTGATCATGTCACCTGACACTAGAATCCATCTTAAATCTGGTACTTTTCCATTTAGAAGGAGGGGTGTGGACCCAGAGAAACAAAGGACTCCCACCTTGTGCCAAAGCTATAAAAAGGGGGTGTAGCAGGACAAAGAGGCGGCCAGTCATGAGAAAACCCCTAGTTACCACCTGAGATGTCTGCTGACACTAATAAGGACTGTATCAGGGAAAGGATTGGGCCCAGACTAGGAAGGAGTCTAGTCTGTGAAAGAAGCATATCGGAACATTGCTGAGGGTGAGATAGTACCTATTAAAAATCACTTATTTATTAATGAACCCAGAGTAAGTGATTAATACCTGAGGGAGCAAACAGCTGTGTGCATATCTCATTGTTATAGAGAGTGCACAATTTATTACCCTGTATAAGCTTTATACAGAGTAAAACGGATTTATTTGGATACCATGGGGAACTGGGTGTCTGGGTGCTAGAGCCAGGTAACCTGCTGATCTGTTTTCAGTTAAGTCTGCAGCTTTAGGGCCTGGACCAGTCCCTGAGTCTGTGGTACAGAAGGCTAGTATGTCTGACTCAACAAGGCAGGGTTCTGGAGACCCAAGCTGGCAGGAAAAATGGGCTCAGAGGTAATTTCAGCACATCAGGTGACAGTGACCAAACCCATCACCATTACCTCACCCACCCACCTTGTCTAATATCCTGAGACTGACACAGTTACAACTACACCACATCCTTCACCCTGCATTACAGAGGCAGAACTAGGAGCTGCTGTATGAGGGTCAGGGCCTTGCTCAGCTCTGACTTATACAGCTACCCTGCAGGGAGGTGCAAGCCTGCCATTGCAGAAGTACCCAACCCGTATCAGATGGAACCTCTATGTGGTTGCATCTGTGTGCAGCAGCTTAGAACCAGCTCAGCTACTGCTCTGGCTACGCTGGCACCAGCAGCTATTACTGTACCATCCTAGTACAGCCCCTCACATGATAATCCCAAGGAGTGGATAGGCATGCTGTGAACTAGGGTTCTGTTCCCAGCTGTACCTAAGCAGGACTCCACCCCTTTGGGCCTGTAAAGTAGGTTGTATTAGGCTCCCACTCAGGGGCATGAGGGTTAATACACCAGAGAAGGGAGGCATGGGCAGTGCACCCTAGGGATAGCCAAGAACCCTGAGCTAGGACAGACCTGTGGCCTAGTTCCACCAACTTCACACCCTCCAACTCAGCCACTCAATTAAAGCTGAGTGAGCCAAGAGGAGTGTCTTAAACTCACTTGCCTGTGGACAGGTCCGTTCTAGGGCTTGCAGGGAGGTCAGGCCAAGGCAGGATGGAGGAAAGACTGATGACATGCCAGGAGTCCCCTCAGCCTGTCACACAGCAGTCAGGTACTGGGCATTGCTCCTGCTCAGCACATTGGCTGAAACCAAGGACAGAGAAGTGTCCACGACCCTGCCATTTTAAGCGGTACAACTTCAGGCTATGCAAGGGCTGAGAGTGCATTTAGTGTCCTGCCTCAGCTGTTAGCTGGGGATGGAGACAGCCTGCTGTGGCATGGCAGGAGCACTAGCCTCAGTCACTAGGATGCAGGACAGCTTAGGCACAAACCAGCAACTCTGCCCCTTGTGGAGACAGGAGCCCTATGGGCCAGCTGGCATGGAGACCCTCCATGGGGTTTGCAAGCCAGAATGAGGCTCCTTTTCTTTAGCCTAAGAGAGCCCAGCCCACCTCTAAGCTTCATCCAGGGAGCAGTACCCCATCACTGCAGGTATGGGTGAGCAGGGCCTTAACTCCACCTAGTAATTCTCCCTCCTCCCCAGCATGACACCAGCCAGCTCACGCCCCCAGCAGGACTTGTGATGCACACTCCAAGGCCCAACATGACACCAAGGCTCCAGCTGCTCTGTGCAGAGATGTTTTATTTAACCGTCAGTACACACAGAACCACACACTAAGGGGCCGACTGCCCCCACCAACACTAAGCTGCTGCTGGGTTTGTCACAGCTCAGCAGGGAGAGCTCTTCCTGGAGGCAGGTGTGATGGAAAAGCTGCATGTGGCCCACATGCTCCAACCTGCAGGAGGGAAGGAGACCAGTGAGAGGAGTGCCCCTGGCCAGGGGCAGACACAGACCCCCAGGGTCAAGTGTCAGAAAGTACCAGTCAGTCACCAGCATCAGACTGGGGCGGTAAGTGCTCATCATATACTCAACCTCATGCCTGAGGAAAGGGAAAGGGTCAGTGGGGGGTGGAGCTAGTCAATGCCAGCAGAAGGCACCATGCTATGAGGTGGGTGCACCAGCACAAGGAGTGAAACAGCTCATCCCCGGATGTGGGAGAGGATCAGCACACAGGGGGCAAGTACAGAGTCAGTGGCAATTACACTCACCTGCAGTGCTCGGATGAGCCGTGCTTCCAGGCAGCCCTATGAGAAACAAGGGGAGAACTGCAGGAGAGCTGCTTCCCATGGCATACCCCACCCCTCACCCCAATGCTGCTCAAGTCCCATCAGACAGTTCCTTTTGGAACAGAATTTCCTCCTCTCTCTCCACCGGCCCAGTGGGTTCAACCTTGGCAGGTTCTGGACCAGCATGGACAGTAAGACGTGACTTGGTTTCCTCATCAGGACATGGCACCTACCTACCTCTCACCCACAGCCCAGGGACAAGTGGGGCCATCCCCACCTGTATTGCTATGGAGGGAGCAGAGCTCCTCTCTACCAGTCCCTTCCCCAATTGGTGCTTATCAGCCTACCTGCAGCTCCAATGGCTGACTGCCCATTCCCTGGCAGGAAATCCAAGGCTCCTGAAACCGAACAAACAACTGTTGGAGGGCTGGGCAAGGAGCAGGCCACCACGTTCTCAACCCACATTGCTACCAGGCTCCTGGCCTCAGAGGGAACCACTCAGTCACGGGGATCAGACTGGGGCGGTAGGGGTCTCATCACTCAGGAGCCAGAGAATGGGACAGGACCCCTGCCATAGGGCAGAGCTTGCCATTCAGCTTACAGCGAGGGGCAGGTGTGATCTCTGCTTAGCTCCCCTTGCCCATCCCTCGTTTACACCCCTAGGCCCAGCAATCACTCACCATTCCAGGCACTTCAGACCACAGGCCTCTGGCTACCTGCTGGAACAAGACAACCCAGTCAGCTACTCCCCAGCACAGATGCCCCAAACTCATCCCCTGCTCTGCGCAGTTTCTCAGTTGTTCAAATATTTTCATGTTTATAGTAAATCAAAGTGAGCTAGTTTGGCTCATCATTAAAACTGCAGTGAGCACCTCTTACCCCACAAGACAGCACTGTACCATGCCTGCCACAACTGGGTGCTGACTAGGCCCCCTCGGCACTACCACGACAGGTTTAACACACCCAGAGCTGGCTGCTCTGACACCACCACGAAGCTCTACTCCCTCCATGCCCCTTGTCCCAGTTGTTTGGGGAGGAAAATTTGATCTCAGTGGCATTTGCAACGCATGCCCCAGACAGGCAGAGCTGCACAGGGACAACTGCAGCATCTGGTCTCTTACACATGCTTCTATGCAAGGGACATTTGCAAAGAGTCCTGGAGAGAGCTGAAGGGCACTTACCCATGACTCAGTGCAGTGGAGCCATCCACTCCAGCATCTTTAACCTAGGGGAAAGAGAGGTTATTTGATCTGAATCCTTGAGGCCTTGAATTCTAAACTTGCATCCCCAGAATAAGCTTCTTGATGAGGCAAAGCCTGCAGCCTGTTCATCACCAAGCCTCAGAGTCAGAGTCTCAACAGCAATGTTCAGCCGAACGAGATTCCAAAGTGAGTTCATCATGTCAGTGGGAACAGGCAGCTAGGACTGAGCCCCACCCATCATCAGCTGATTATCTGTGCGCACCCTTACCTGGGCAGCTGGGTCAGGAGCTGGCCAAGACTCTCACTCCAGGCACCTGAAAAGAACCAGAGCATCTGATTAGTGTTTGCTCTCTGCTCAGTGGTATTCCATCACCTCATTGTTCAGATACAAGGTGCACTGGGAGTACATCCCTCTCCCCTTGCTGTTTTACACGGTGCTTCTCCTGCCTGAGATGGCAGTGTGCAGACCACAGTGTTATGGGGCAAAAGGGGTGGGTTATTAGCCATTACACTCAGGGAACAATGTCAGACCCAGCCCAATGTCCCATCAGACTGTTCCTCTTGGAGCATGTTCTCCTCCTCTCATGCTGCAGGTACCAGTGGGTTCACCTTTGCAGGTTCTGGTACCAGGACAGACAGTAAGATAGGCACAAGTTTCCTCATTGGGACAGTGGACAGAGGGAGCACTAGGACTGTGTAGGTCACTCACCCTTCCCAGATCAAGGCATCTCACCTGTACAGAGAAGAGAATCGGGTCAGTGAGCACAGGAATGGGGCACAGCTCATTGGAGCAGAGCCAGAGCAGTCTGATCAGGGCTTTGGTAACTCAAATGCCATGAGACAAGTGTCGTCCAGCTAACATTGTGTCATCCTTTCAAACTGCCACTTGCCAACTGTCAAAGTAATGGCCCATCCCAGAGCTACAGAAGGGGAACTGGCCAGGCCCTACCATGCTAGGGACACTGTGTAGGAGATGCATTTACCTGAGACAGGCATTCACCCCAGGAGGAGTTCACCTAGAGGGAAAGCAAAGAGCCCTGTGAGACAGGTGTCTGAATGAGCAGCATCTTTGGCCCAAGGGCCAGCTGCCATCAGAACTCTAACATGCTTATTGACCAATGTTCTTCAAGACTTTTCAGAGGAACTGGTTCAGATCACATGGCAAGGGGGCTTGGGCACTGATATACCCGGAGAGGAATGCTCAGCACACACAGAGCTTTAGCAGGGCAGGAAACCACTAACTCCTAAACCTACCTGTATATGAGGCCGGACTCCGCCTGGGGGTGGGGGGTAACCTGAAACAGAAGGGGCAGGTTAACCCTATTCTTAGACCAAAAATCCCTCCCCAGGGATGATCTTCAAGTTCTCAGAAGTAAGCTGGCATCACAGACACTCAGCCATATGCTTGTCTGTTTGCATTCATCACTGAACAGCAGGGGAGCAGAAGCTTAACTGTGTCCATGGGAAACAGACCCACCTTGCAGCCTACACTGACCAACCACTGCAGCAGTCCTCAAGCTGGGTAGAGGATTGAGCTGCCACGCACACAGGAATGGTCAGAGCCATTTGTGGAGCCACAAATCCCCATCCTCAGAGGGAACCCCCGCCACACACACCCCTAGATGCTACCCTAGCATGCACTACCATTTACTGAAAACCCAAAACATGGTGGACAGCTCTGCTGCAGTGAGGAGGAGGAAGCAGAAGTTTGGATCAGTCCAATACACACAGATCCCAAGCCAGCACTGACCATCCCCCTCCATCCTGCCCAGCCATCATTCCAAGCAGGGCACAGTTTCTGCTGGTCTAAGAGGGATGCATACTTGGAGAGGCAAGGCTGTTCCACACAGGAGACCCACTGAGCAGACAGTGAGTCAGTGGATGAAGCTACACTTAAGCCACAAGGCAACAATATGTATCCCTGCTCCCATTCAAGCCACATTAGGGAAGACAGCTGCACCTTCACCGTGGTGTAATGGAGCTGGTTTCCCCTTTGTAGACCACCCCATGTTCAATGTATCATTTTAATCAGAGATGGAGAAAGCTCAACTACTCACATGTTAAGAGGCTGCAGATGCACATAACTGGTAAGACCCAGGCCTGAGAAAAGAGACACATATGAACCTTAACATGCAGTCACTGACTCTCCTCCTATAAGAGCACCATTCCTACAACCTGGTCTACCCACTCCCTATGTTAAGGGCAATGTGGGCATATGCTCTCTTCTGGTGCTGTTCAACAAGGGCCTGCTCCACTCCCTGCAGGGCTGAAGTACCAGGCCACAGGGACCTAAATGTAATCCACACCTACCTGAGCTAAAGTCAGTGCCACTCAGAATCTGGTAAAGATTTTCTCCACTGAAGCCTCAGAAAGAGAGAGTTCAGCATTTATCATCTTTGCAGCACTTCATACACCACCCTCCTCCCAAGACCAGGCACTCAATTAACAGCAATGATATGCTGCATTAACAGTGACATGTCACCACCACACCACCCCGTAGCATGCCCAACTCCCACTTGGCTAGCTTTCTATACCAGGCAAGCATCTGGGAATTTCAGTCATTTAGACCTCAGACAGTATGACACTATGGCCTTATAAATTTAGCCATGGACCCTATGGCCACCCTAAATGTCCCAAATACCAGAAACACCTGCCCCTGGGAGCTGGGCTGAGCCCTGGGACGGAGTTTGAATGGGAGAGGAGGTGCATCTCTAACCAGTGCTACACAAGCTCCAGCATACATGAAGGCATTTGCAACTCACCTAGCAAGCACTCAGGAGCTTTAAACCCTGCATACAAAGAAACAGCATTAGGAACATGGAATAGACATATGGTCCCCATGGCAAAGTGGGCAGGGCCCTAAACTATACCCCAACATGGGCAAGCTCCCTGATGGTCCCCAGTCTCATGGCATGGCTGCCCTTCATATCCCTGGCCATAGGGGTGGGGGGCCGGTCTGTTCTCCTCAGATTTATTTGGGGTCCTCACAGGGCTGTCAGCACAGGTCTGTGATAGGTCTCATCATAGAGAGAACAGCCCCCGCCCACCCCCACAGCACGAAGCTGCTCCTCTCCCTTCCCGCCCACAGCGCTGGCTAAGGCCTTCAGGCTGCCTGCGGCAAGGGCAGGATGGGGTTAAGCCTTGTGCCCCAGGAACCTGACTACAAGGGGGTCCCGGCCAGAGGTGGCCCAGCGGGGGAGAGCGCCCCCTGCAGGAGGAGCGATGCCGCACGTGGCTGGTGCCTCTGGCACATGGTGGGGGCAGGGCCAGGCGGCCGGAGCGCTCAGGCCGTGTCCAGGGCTCCTGCAGAGAACTAGCCCCCACCCTCTCCAGCGCTTTCCCGAGGGGCGGAGAGGCTCCTGGCCCGCGCTCCAGGCGACTTTGTCACGCGCAGGGATCCGCCCCGACTCAGCAGCGGGTGGCGCGGGAGGGTTTCCCGGGGCCGCCGGGCGGACCGCTGCGGGCGGGGTAGGTGGGACCCACCCGGGAATAGGACGCGCCCCGCGGGGTTCCTGTAGGAGCCATGCGGGCGGGGAGAGGGAAACGAGCAGGGCAGCAGGCAAACGGTCCGGGGAGAAGGGGGCAGCAGAGGCGACACATGGGGCGGGTCACGTATCCCCACCACAGAGTTACAGGTCGCCTATGGGGAGCCCCCAGCCGCCCCCCGCTCCCTCACAGCAGCCCCCGCCCCCCAGCTCCATACGCTGCATGTAGGGTGACCAGCTAGTAAGTGTGAAAAATCAGGACGGGGTGGGAGGGTAATAGGAGCCCATAGTAAAAAAGCCCCAAATATTGGGACTGTCCCTATAAAATCGGGACATCTGGTCACCCTAACCACATGGCTCACAACATGGCGGTGGAGCCTGCTGCGCCTCCCACCCCGCGGGACGCAGCTCCCAGCCCGGTGCGCGGGTCACGCCCTCCCAAGATCCCCGAGGAACCGCGGGCTGCAGCCGCCTGCGCCACAGGAGGGGCTCCCGATGTGGAGCCGCATGGCCACAGATTGTCCCCGCCCCACTCACCCCCAGATCTCGCGCCAGCAGCAGCTGAGCAAATGGCCGAATTTACTCCCAGCCGGGGCTTAAATACCCAAGAACCAGGGGTATGCTGGGAAATCCCCCTTTCTCAGAAGGAAGCCGAATACGCATGTGCAACGAGGGGGTCGCGGGAAGATCAACGCTTGTGTCCGGTGGGGGGCGGTCGTACGTTGACGTTCACGCATGCGCAATACGAATAAGGTGGGTGAGAAAAACGAAGCAGCGACGGACTATAAGAATGTAAGCATAGGGGGAAATAAAACGGAAGCCTGAGTGCGCATGCGCAGGGAGGAAGCGGAATGCTCGCGTGCCTGAAGGCGCATGCTTATAGAAGTGGCGGGATGAGCAGCAACCTGCATGCGCAGGAGATGAGGGAATGCACGAGAATCTCAGTGCGCATGCGCTCTACTGGTGGTGAGGGGACGTTTACGTACGTGGGGTGGTGATGAGCGGTCACGCGCCCTGGGGTTGTGCGTGCGAGTTTGGCGGGCGCTACTGCGGTGTTATCGTTGGTCCTTTGTTCGCAGTGGCAGAGCGGAGGAGGGAGAGGAACCCGCTCCCCCTCCCTCCCTCCTTGGGAATCTCCTCCCCTCTCCCCATGGCCCTCCGCGGGTCTCCCCCCCCCCCGGAATTACCTGCAGGATCCCTGAGTCCCCCCCGCTCCGGTTGACCCACCCACAGCTGAAACTCGCTCCAGCTCGGCCTCTGCTCACTTCCAGGGACCGTGTCTGGTTCCTCCCAAGGACCGAGCCAGAACCCCGGGGAGCCCCCCCCCGGAAATGGCTCCCTCCATGGGGGGGTTATACTGGAATAGCTCAGCGCAGTGGTTACTCTGCTTACAGGAGGCCAGTCAATCCCCCCATGTAGACAAGCCCTGTGTGGGGGTCCCAACAGCCAGCTCTGCTCAGGCCTTGGCTACACTCAGGACT